TTTATTGCTATTTTCTTACATGGTTAGTGCTTTTTGTTTCCTGTCTAGGAAATCTTTGCCTATCCCCAGATATGAAGATTTTCTTTTGTGTTTTCTAAGTGTGATAGCTTTAGTTTTTGTATTTAGGTCTAGAATTGATTTTGAGTTAATTTTTATGTTTGGTGTTAGGTAGAGGTTGAGGTTCTTTTTTTTTTTTTTTTTTTCCTATCCCTCATATGGATATCTAGTAATTCTAGCATCATTTGTTGAAAGACTGTCTTCTTACCATTAAATTATGTTGTTGGCGACTTCATTGAAGATCAGTTGTCAGTATACGTATGGGTTTGTTTTTGGACTCTATAATCTGTTCCATTTAATTTGTGTCTTTCTTTAGGCCATTGTGGTATATCTTGATTACTATGGCCTTACAGTGAGTCTTTAAAACAATATTTAAGCCCTTTATTGGTTTTTTCAAGTTTTTAAAAAATCTTTTAGGTCCTTACATTTACATATAAAATTTGTACTCAGCCTATTAATTTCTACAGAGGAACCTGCTGGGACTTTGAATAGAATCATATTAAATATATATATCAAGTTAGGGAGAATCACCATCTTAATATTGAGCCTTTCAATCATGAACATTGTATATACTTCTTTATTTATTTGAATCTTTTGAAATTTCAGCAGTGTTTTATGGTTTTCAGTGTATAGATGGTGCATGTACATTGCTAAATTTATTCTTTTTTTGTAATAGCATTATTGAAATATAATCCACATACCCTACAATTTACCAATTTAAAGTGTACAATTCGGTGGGATATTTTTGGCTGGTTTTAGTATTTTCACAAAGTGTGCAACCATAACCACTATCTAATTTCAGAAAATTTCATCACCGTTTAAGAAACCCCATGCCCTTTAGTAGTTACCTCCCCTTTTCCCCATTTACCAGCCCCAGGCAACCACTCATCTACATTCTGTCTATAGATTTTCCCTTTCTGGGCATTTTATATAATTGGAATAATATGATATATGGTCTTTTTGACTGGCTTCATTCAATTAGTATAATGTTTTCAAGATTCATCCATGTTGTAGCATGAATCAGTACTTCCTTTTTATGGCCAAATAATATTCCACTGTATTGATATAGCACTTTTTATTTACCCTTTCATCTGTTGATGGATATTTGAGTTTCTTCTACTTTTGGGGTATTGTGAATAATACTGCTACGAACATTAAATGTAGAAGTTTTTGAGTGGAATACATTTTATTTCTCGTGGGCGTACACCTAGGAGTGAAATTGCTGGATCATATGGTAATTATGTTTCACATTTTGAGGAACTGCCAAACTGTTTTCCATCCCCACCAGAAATATCTGATTGGCTGTGTGGGTGTGTGTGCACATGCTTAGGTTTCTATAAAATCAGAATAATAACTGGAACCAGACAAGGTTGCCCACTATCTCCAC